AAGTGTAACATATATCATCGTTAAATCTTATCTTATAAAACCAGTGGAACTTCAAAATCTTTAAAATTCATGGCTCCCGCTGCATTGCACGGGTACACAGCTAGTATGCTTAAAAAGAGTAAGATGATTAATAACCATCTTTTATGCTCTAGTGGGTGATAACTTTGTTTCAAACGATACTGAAGTTCACAACAATAAGCTTTTTATTCCAAACTAGTTGGGGGTAGGTCAAAGCCTTGAAATGAGACCCATGAGGAAAATTAAAATTATCCTGGCTGACATATTTACAATTGTCGACCATTATCATTCTGATAAATGTTTCTTTCAACAACATATACGGTATTTGTAGTGCTTATAGTGTTCTATCACTTGTGGCATCTTGAATATTCATACTCTCTTTCTCTCTCTCTCTCTCTCTCTCTCACACACACACACACAATGAGCGCACTTTCTTATTCATGCCTTCACCATACTGCTCTTGCAACTTTCTGTAGAGCATGTTGAACTTACTCTCCAGAAGAGTCCTTGAGGAGAGAATGGATGTCTAAAGATATATTGAGGAGAAATGGTCAAGTTTCTTTAAGGTTTAATGATACCCGGAACTTTTTTTCCTGAGATTGTGTCTTTCACATCCAGATTCTATCCAAAAATGGAAGTGGAAAAGATACTTGCTTCATTTGATGTTGAGGTAAAAATATATGTGTGGGTATCCATTTTAGATAAGGATCCTCTAGAAGCTTTTTTAGTCATGGTCTTTACACCATCAAGTTTAATTGATTCACAGGCTGGATACGGGACTTTTGTAGCTGATTTTCACATTTCTAAGGGTACGTTGCCTCGTCACTGTCGAGATTTGGTAAGTGACTAATATGCACTATGGGTATATGTAGCCGAAAAGCAATCTTTAAGGTAAAGTTATTTCACTTGGGTCCAAGAATACAATGATTAAGAGGTACATGCCTATTTCATTTTCATGTTTTATGAGAAAAATACCTTAAAGTTGTTTAGGGGCCATTTGCCAAATGCTTACCCAGTAAGCACTTGCCTAGACACTTCCCTTACCGGATGAACATGAAAATGACTGCAGATCTTACTCGGTAAGAGTGATGGCAAGGTCAACGATTCTTATCCGGTAAGTGAGGGTGATGACTTTTACCAGGTTAGCATTTACCGGGTAAATTGTTGCATACAATGCCATTTTGATGGACTAGAATCTTACCCGGTAAGGTAAGTGAGAGTTTTGATTCTTACCGGTAAGCGCTTACCGGGTAAGTGTTAAAGTAAACAGCCCCTTGTCTTTTCAGCCATTAGATTTGGAACCATGTGCAAACTTATTTCTTCTTTCAGTTTTTCTAGTCTTGTCCTTGCAACAAATTTTGTCAGAGTTCAGCCATTCTATATAAGATAGTTGATTTTGAATTATTTCTTTATATCTGAATTTATTACTCCCTCCGTCCCAAAACAAATGTCTACAAATCTACAATGAAAAAGGTACAGTTTTAGAAATGTGAAATTACTACACTTTTTAATGAACTAAATTACAATTTTACCCTTAATAATAAAGGGAGTAAAAAACTTCTCCATCTCATAGTTAAGGGTTAATTTTGGAAAGCAGACACTCGCTTTTGGAAGTGGAAACTTATTTTCGGACAGAGGGAGTATTTCAAGTTTCTATTACAGTAATCTTCGCTTCCATTTTCTAGTTAAAGTGCCTGAGGGGACTGCCGATAAACACGTTACCGTATTTAGAAGGAAATGTGAAATTGTCTTTCTACACCATATAGATATTCACTTCTCTTTCGCTTTCTGCATGTGATTTCAATGGTAAATCCTGGAGTAAACGTTAAGCAAAAATTGATGATATATCTATTTCATATCAGTGGCTTTTAGTAGCTCGAATGGACAATATGGAGACAGCTGCCTGTATTGCCAGTCCATCAAATGTGGAGTAAGATTTATGTAAAAATGTTTTTCTTGAAGTAGCCTTCGTAATATCTAACCTTCTACCTTTCTCTTTGTAGCTTTCTTGTAAATGGTAGCGGAGTACCAGGGAGGACCAAAAGGGACATGGTTTGTCAATTTCTCACCGAACCATTCTCGAATCCTTCTTCTTAAGGGAAAGAAAGGAAAAGGAGTGAGGGAAAGGAAAATATTAGGGGTTGTTTGGTTCATTGAATTCAAAGTATTTCAAGGGAATTGGAATGGTCAATTCCTTTGTTTGGTTCACATATTAAGAATGTAGGAATCCTTTATATTCCATTGAATTCCTCGATTAAAGATTTCAGCATTCCCGGGAATATCCCAAGGATTCCAATTCCTCTAACAATTCCATTCAACCAAACGTGTTGGTTAAATTCCATCAAATTCCATTCCAGTTCCTTCAAAGTGCAAATTCCTTTGATGGATTCCAATTCTACCAAATTCCATTCTGCGAACCAAATTCCCCCTTAGGAGGGAAAATATCACTTATGTTTCCTCCCAAATGTAGGAAGGAAGGGAGGGAAAGAATATCGGAAAGGAGTTTGTGATCTTTTATGACAAAAATACCCTCATACAACAATACAAGGAAAAGTAAGAAATACAAATATAAAGAGTATATTGGTAAAAGTGACATCTTTCTTTTCCTTTCTCTCCGGTTCAAGACCATGAAAAATTGTTTCCTTTCCATTCTTTCCCTTACCTTTCAAGAACACAAATAAAAAACCTTCTTTCCTTTCATTTCTTTTCTTTTATCCCAAATTCGAGATCACGGTGTGAAAATTCTTTCCAAAAGGGCGCTTTAGTTTGCTTTACTCGCCTATCATGATCATCCATGTTCATGTAATATGTGTATTAGGTTAAGGGACCACAACTCCCATCAAACTTGACTAAAATGATCAAATATGGAGTAAATCTACTACAAGTTCTTGGAGACTTTGATGGTGTGCTTACATTTTTATTGCTTCACTCTGAAACTTATGTTGCCGGATTTTATTAAGACTTGCTAGTTTTCATTTCTTTTGAAACAAATTCAGGACGTTATATTATAGTCATAGCTTTTATGAGTATGGTATCATCTCCCGATCCTCCTCAATTGCAAGATTATGTCCATCCCATGGAAAGTGAAGTTGATTCTGGTAAGTCGATGAAACTGCAAGATCTTTCAAACACAATGTTGGTTTTCTTATGTTGTTTAAGGGGCCGTTTACTAGACACTTATCAGGTAAGTGTTTACAGATATCATTTACCTTATCGATTGAGCATGGAAGTGATTGAGAATCTTACTGGGTAAGAGGCATAGCAAGGACCAAGAGGCTTACCCGGTAACGGAAAAGACTCTTACCTGGTAAGTGACAAAAAAGACTCCTACCTGGTAAGTGACGGAAAAGACTCTTACCCGGTAAGCGCTTATAGGGTTTAAGAGCTTACCAACAATCCATTTTAATGGTCGAGAATGTTATACGATAAGATAATTGATGGAGGTGCTCTTGCCGGTAAGCGCTTATTGCTTACCCTGTAAGCATTTGGTAAACAGCCCCTAAGAGTCTGGATTTATGTTTTACAAAACAGTTTCTTTCCAGGAAATTGATTCAACAAACATTTTTTCTTGTGTTTTTCCCTTCCCATGATTCAGAATGCCTTGTCATTGAGATGTCATCACGGATTTCACTTCATTGCCCCTTTAGGTAAGCCGCAATATCGGTACGGATAAACACAACATATTTCTTTGTTAATTTAGTTGCTATTTTGCAGATTTCTCAACTATCTAGGAACATAGTATTCCATCCCAAAATAAACTGTGGATACTTCCCAATTTTACCCTTAATTATGAGATGGTGAAATTCATTGCCCCCTTTTATTCCCAAGGGTAAATTTGTCATTTCATTAATTAGAAAGTGTAATAATTACACATTTCTGAAATAATGTACCTTTTTCATTGTGGACATTTAAAGTCTGTTAGTTAGCACCTAATGAGCTTAATGGGACTCGTAGCTTTTTTGGTCAGCTATACATGACTGTTTTATAGTGGCTTAACGATATAAAAAGTGGTTTATTCATTAAGCTTTTAAGGGGGACTTTATACACAAAACCACCAAGGGTTTTTTTTCCAAAACTGTCCTTCTCAATTAAAAAACACGCTCCTTTCATCTATGAAAAAACCCTCCCAGACAAAAACCTTCCCAGTCTATATAGATAGATTAATCCACACAGACAACTTTATCCATACAAGACTTAATGGAAAACCAACCAAACAGCCCCTTATTTTGGGACTGAGGGAGTATTTAAATTCAGTGGCTCTAATGGATCTCATTATTCTATTTACATTTCCTTCTTGACAGTCAACATCGCATAAAAATTCCTGTGAAAGGGCGTCTTTGCAAGCATCCGCAGGTGAATATTGATGTTTTACTAGCTCAAGCTGAATTATCTTACACCAGCAGAAGTCCTGAACATGTGGAAATGTTTATCAAAGTGGTTGAATAACGATAATTGCAAGTGATTCTCTTGCTCCCTCCATCCCATGAAAACTGCAACATTTTGTTTTCACAATTAACCACATGTCCAAAATAGATTCTAAATAATTGCATCCCTAGGAACCCAAATCAAGATGAAGGATCATGTGAGAATAGGAGTTAAGGTGAGAAGTGTAAGAAGGGATTTGGACCCTTGATCGCTTTTAATCTCACCCCCACCCCCATGAATTGTGCTTCTCACGAGAATTAATCCAGTGCATCTCATTAGGGTTGATCTTCAACTAGGATTGATCCAGGGTGCGGATCCTTTCTTACCCATCCCACCATAACTTTCATTCTCACCGAACCCAACCCCCCAAATCAATATCATCAGTTCCTTGCAGCAATGACTGATGACAACGGGCAAATACCAAGACGATGAAAACGTTGCAATTTACATGGATATATCAAAACGAAATTGTTGCAATTTTATGTGAAGGAGGGAGCGGATTTGTTCCTTTTTTTCTCTCTCTAAACATCTAAGTTTCTGACAAACTATGCCCACTGTAGTGCTTTGATTACAAAAACTTTATGGAAATCAACTCAAGGAGGCCTACATGGAAATGCCCTGTCTGTTCTAAGCCAATCTGCAATCTAGATATACGGATCGATCAAGATTTTGTCAAGGCAAGCACTATATACACTTACATATATAGGGTTTCAGGGGAAAACCACAAAAAATTGAAAAACTGAGGAACAGTCAAGTAACCGTTTATCTGTACAGTACAAGTGCATACAAGTAATTTATAAGTAATTTTTTCCATAATTCACATGTGCGTAGAAACAGAAAACATCTTCAATTACTTGTATTCACATGTGCAGAGATGAATGGTTATTAGGGTGTTCCTCACTTTTCGTTTTTTGGGGGGTTTCCCTGAACCTCCCCCCCCCCCCCTCTCTCTCTATATATATACACACACGCACACATACTAACTATGTACCGGTGCAATGCAACATGATGTAAAATGTAGTTGTAAATCTAGGATGAAAAATCAATGCAATTCTTCGTTAAAAAAGATAATCCAAAATTTATGAAGTATGTTGCCGTATTAATTTCAAGGATTATCCTGTATTTGTATTTGTACTAGTTTATCTGTTAGTTTTATTGAGCTCACACGTGGAGCTTTAAGAAATTGTACATATCCCATAATAAGTTGTAAGCTTGAACTTTAAGAGATTATGCATTAATAAGCAGTATTTGATGCTCACTATGTTGCTATGTACATTAGTTTCTACATCTGTTACATGTTTTACTTAATTACATTGTCTGCTTGCACATTGTTGAATTGTGGACACACCATTAAATCGTTTTTCTACATGTATTTTCCGATTACCTGTCATATTACCTATCTTATTTCCTGCTTGCGCACACCTTTGTTTTCCGTGCACTAAGCCCGCGCCCCCCGGGGGGGGGGGGGGGGGGGGGTGGGTTCTTCATGGAAACAACCTCTAGGGTTGAAAAAGGGTCCGGTTACATACTTACATCCTACCCCTCCCATACCCTACTTTCGAGCGCAGTATATTGGGTTCGTGGTTTAGTTTGGTTTTTGATGCTTAATAAGTTGTTTTAAGAGTACTTATCAAATGTTTCACCATGTATTATATATAGGGTTAGGTTCACGCGCAAAAATATGAAAAATTAAGGAACACTCTGGTAACCATTCATCTGGACGGTATATACATGTGCAGATAAGTAATTTGCAAGCAATTTGTCCGGTATGTACATGTGCATAAAAACCAAGAAACAACTTCAATTACTTGTATGCACCGTCCAAATGAATGATTATCAGGGTGTTCCTTAGTTTTTCTTTTTTTGGGGGGTCTCTATCT